TCGCGAGCTGCCCGGGCTGTTGATTTCGCGAGGCCCCTTCGCACGCCGATTCGATTTCCCCAGCGAGCCACTCGACTCGGATTGGCCATGGGGGGGAGGGGGGGCGGAGGTCAGTCGGGGCGAAGGACGACAGATCCGTGACTTAGCAATCGCTGTTAAGTCCACTGCCGGACGATGGCCTCATCCAGCCGTGGATTGACGCGAACAATATTTCTCCACAGCTGGCACGTGGCTGTAAACCAATGCGGCATAATTCATGAATTAATTGTTGTACATCGGTGGAATACAGTGCGGCATTGGGCGAAGGCCTTCCGTAGGCAATGTGGGTCACATGGGGGTTGTTTGACCATACCGCACCATGCCGGTCTGCTTGTGAAGGCGGGGCGCAAATGTTTGACAGCATAGCACACAGCCACTGCCTTCGACACACAACTCAGCCCCGCAGCAGCCTATAGCACCTGTTATGCGCACGGTGGGAGCGCCCATCCAAGCACAGCCCAGGCTTAATCCGGCTTAGCTTCCGAGACCGGGCGTGATCGGACGCCACTCACGTGATGTTTTCTCACGGGCAATAAAGACACACACGTGGGATGTCAATTTTTGCTTCTTGGGGGGGAGGAAATTATCATATTGCGCATGGAATAAGGCAAGGGAAACATTTAAAATCCGGCCTTGCGATGCCACAGTCCATTGTGATGCAATGAATTCATAACCATGTTCTGGCAGACGGCTTTTGCACAGCGGCACCGCATTCTCCAGATTTATAAAACACGGCGCCTTTTCCTTTAACGTCAGCCAGGATTCGCGGTGCGTCTAACTTTCCGAAGCATCTTACAGTCCGGAGAATGTGGTCGGCGCGCGTTTAAACATGACACGCACGGCATTCCGTGTCTTACACGGCTTTTCGTGTGTCAGGTTGTTGTCCATCCCCCGCGCAATTCGATTAGCACGGTGGGCTACGTACGTGCGAAACAAGTTCAACGTTGCGTACGTCCCTACTACCTCGCTGCCTTTCTGTGCATAAAGATGTAAAATCGCCGTCACCGCCCAGCTGCTGATAAAAAGGCAACGTCAATTGCTCCGAGTACGTCCCAGACCCTTGGTGATTTTATTCACGATCATTTCTCCCTCATTACGTATCCGTCACAATTACAGCCCTAATTGGTTGGCGTAGCTTGGCCCAAACGAACAGCCAATTCATTCACACAACCAATGGTTACGCACTTATTTAATGTGACGGAAATGTTCAGCCAATTTTGTGGAAATTCCCGAATGCTGTTTTGTAACGAGTAATTTCAAATCCGATTACCAATTACTCTTCGGCAGGGGTAATGGGTTACGTAATCTGTTACACCAATTTCCCAGAGTGCTGTTTGCGTTACGATGTTGTTAACGATTTTTACATGTTCATGTTTTTTTTTACTGTGCAGTGTTTAAAATCAAAAGTAAGCATGCCATGCTTAAGCGAGTACATTGCATATCATACGTAAAGATGATGATGACTAAACGAGCGACGATTTATGTATTTTCTGGGAGATCGAGAAAGTGACAATTTGGCACAACTTTAATTGAGGCTATGCTTATAATGAGAACAATAAGAAGAGGCAAAATATAAGAATTTGAGCCCCACGAAAATGACATCCCAGAGGCTGATCGGCTTCACTCTGTAGGCAGAATCACCATAACGTTTTCCGGTGCTCTATGCCCAAATATACATCAACTCCGTGACCAGTGAACAAAGTAACTTGCCTCCAGTGGCACGTGAGTCTCTATTAATTATTTCTGTGCTAGCATCTTTACAGTCGCATCATCATTGCCGCAAGTCAATATCGATCCACTGCTGGATGAAAGTCTCCTCGCGCCAACGCACGTTCCGCAAGGCCCTGCGCTGCTGCTGCTGTTGCTGCTGCGAACATTCTTGCTACGGCACGCCAAAGGGTAGCGAGATGTTAACTAGAGATGTTAACTAGAGATGTTAACTAGAGATGTTAACTAGAGATGTTAACTACAGATGTTAACTACCTCGTTTCAGAGATGTTAACTAGAGATGTTAAATACCTCGTTTCAGAGATGTTAACTAGAGATGTTAACTACCTCGTTTCAGAGATGTTAACTACCTCGTTTCAGAGATGTTAACTACCTCGTTTCAGAGATGTTAACTAGAGATTATAACTACCTCGTTTCAGAGATGTTAACTACCTCGTTTCAGAGATGTTAACTACCTCGTTTCAGAGATGTTAACTACCTCGTTTCAGAGATGTTAACTAGAGATGTTAACTACCTCGTTTCAGAGATGTTAACTAGAGATGTTAACTACCTCGTTTCAGAGATGTTAACTACCTCGTTTCAGAGATGTTAACTACCTCGCTTCAGAGATGTTAACTACCTCGTTTCAGAGATGTTAACTACCTCGTTTCAGAGATGTTAACTAGAGATGTTAACTACCTCGTTTCAGAGATGTTAACTACCTCGTTTCAGAGATGTTAACTACCTCGCTTCAGAGATGTTAACTACCTCGCTTCAGAGATGTTAACTACCTCGTTTCAGAGATGTTAACTACCTCGTTTCAGAGATGTTAACTAGAGATGTTAACTACCTCGTTTCAGAGATGTTAACTACCTCGTTTCCGAGATGTTAACTACCTCGTTTCCGACCCCTGACGATGCCTGGCATGTTTGGAGTTTGCGTGCCTCGCTCTCCGTGGTGGCGTGGATCTACCCTCCGGGTTCCTCCGGTTTCTTTCTCCTCCACATTCATAACGAACGTCACGCGCTCAGAGTATTTGGCTGCCTATAACTTGCCACACGCGATGAGCCACTTCGTTGCGCTATCGTACGTACGTTGGTCGGGTCGCTTCTGAAAACGAGCTATTTACTGGGCCTTACCGGTAAAAACAACAACTTAGTCTAGTTTTAGTTTAGCTTTGCACGTGACCGCGGTGGCGGGCCACTATGGTGCGATCCGTCCTTTGGCTGACATTCCATCGCCAGGCTTGGCCATTCTGCTATCACCCCCTCCCAGAGATGCGTCCTTCTCAACAAGCCAACTCACGTCTCTTAACGCAGTGCGACGGGCCTCTGAGTTGGATGTGCTGCCTGATCCACGTGGTTTTGTCTCTCTCTGCCTCTAAATGCAATTCCAAGCGTGTCACCTCTTCACGCTTCTCTGCGCACTTTGCGGCTTATGTTAAATTTCAACGTCCCCATGTATGATCTGTGCGTCACGGTGGGCAATGCGCTGATTAGAAACCTTCCTTCGTCACACGGGGACGTTACTTTTCATAATAACATTCCATTATATTTTTTTGTGAAAGGCACTCCAATCTGCTCTTATTATATTTTTTTCTATATGAAAACAACACGAACAAGGGAAATTTAATTGCAACAGGGTAAAGGCGCAGCCCTGCAAATGCTCGCTCAAGCCACTGCTGGCGGAAGGTCCTCCACGAGAGGGAGCTCTCGAGATGCCGAAGGTATTTTTGTTTCTGCTCTTCCCGGCTGGCCAGACGCCTCGCAAGAGGTGACAGTACCCACACCTGACCCCACCACCGGTGAGCTACCGATGGGCTCGCTGGGTGGCGAGGGGTCGTGGTGGTGGCGGTAGAGTGTCGTCGGGGATTTAAAAATAAATAAAAAACTTGGCGCCTTTGTTTCAACTTGCCACGCCGGGAGATCGAACCGGCGCTCCTCTGGATCACAAGTGCAGTGTGCCAACCCTTTCAGCATGACAGCATCGTGTTTTTTTAAAAAAAAAATAATGGTTATAATAAAGTCTGGGGGAAAAAAAAAGCCACCGAAAAAACAACAATCCGTAAAGCAAGTTTAAGGCTGGCATTTTCTACTTTTAAAGTTCCCAAAGGTAATTCGTATCGATTTGAACAAAAAAACAAAAAAAACTTTGGCATGAAGGCCTTGCCAGTGGCGCTGGGCTTTGGGGGGCAAGGGGTTGGTTTCTCACACAGATTTGGGGAAGTCCCACAGCCACTGAACTACGGAGCGGCTACAGCAAGTGGATTGTGACACCCATCTGTACGGGCCTTTTCACTGCTAGTCCATCGTCTGCGCGGGGCTTTCTCCACGTACTCTTTCGGATGATCGCACAGGAAGCCAGACACTCATTCATTGGCCAAACATCTCAACGCAGGACTCTCATGGAAACGAATATTGAGACTCAGTGAGGCTTTCCTGGATAAATGAGAGATACGAGTAATATGAATGTCATGAAAAAAAACCCCCACTAACGATTAGAACAGCTAAATGCATGTTTGATGCTTTCAGACATTGATTTGTGTGTTGTCTAGCCGCTGATGCGTATGCAATTGAGAGCGTCTGTGTGTATTTGCGAGTGCGTGTACATATGGGAGAGTGAGTGTGTGTGTATTTGTGTGTGGTGTGGGAAGCGGTAGTCTACTAGTTAGCGTGCTGCCCAGATCGATTCCCGCTCACAGCCACCAACACCGGTGACGATTATCTGAACTCGGGTCTCCCCTAGGTCGACTCAGACTTAAATGTGTACCTGGTGCGGTGTTTATACATCGCCACTAGGGAGACAAAGGCGGCCAGGCGTGGATGTGCCGTGCCGGTCATCATAGGAGCTCGCGAACAGCACTTGCCCCAACAGTCCGTGCAAGGCTACACGGGGGACCTTTGCGTGCATGCGTGTGCGAGGGTAGTTGTGTGTACGCGAGCGTGCATGCGTCGTGTCAATTTGAGTGCGTGCAAGGGCGTTCCTCTACGTACGTGTGTGTGCGCGTGTGTGTGTGCGCGTGTGTGTGCGCGTGTGTGTGCGCGTGCGTGTGCGCGTGCGTGTGCGCGCGTGTGTGAGGATGGGCAGAAACCCAGCGGTTGCCATAGCTACAGGAGCTGGCAGCGAATGTGGGGGGGGGGGGGGGGAGGAGGAGGGGGAGAGGACGAGAGGATGGAAGGGAGAGATTTACAGAAAAGCCACATTGAGAGAGAGAGAGACGCGCAGGGGACGCAGAGAGAGAGAGAGATAGCTCGCCAGAGAGACAGGGGAGGAAGGGAGGGAGGGGAGAATCACCAGAGACGAGACAGAGGACATCGGAGGAGCCAGAGGGTAAACTGCAGGCAGGAAAGAGATCGCGAGGAGACGCGGGCGGAGCGAGCGAGCGGGCGAGCGGGCGGGCGGGCGAGCGGGCGGGCGAGCGGGCGGGCGGGCGCGGTTCTGTGAGCGAGGCCGATCGAGAGCAGCATGAATCTCCAACGCCCGCGGACATGCGCACAGGTCCGGTCCTGGCGGTGACTTCAGTTCCGCCCGCTTCGTGCGAACGCACGGCACGAGCGAGCGTGTGCACGAGTGAGTGACCGCGAGGGAGAAGAGGAAGGAAGGAGGTGAAGGAAGGAGGTGAAGGAAGGAAGGAAGGAGGAGGAAGGAAGGAAGGAGGAAGGAAGGAAGGAAGGAGGAGTACACGAAGAATATATTTTTAAGGGCATATCGATTCGTGCAGTTTTTGCTCGTTGTTTGTCATTCCTCGGGAAGAATCTGCGATGCCGCGCGTGTCAAAGGAGGGGAGAGGGTTGGAGGTGTCGTCTGGCGCGGCTCCCCTGCCCGCGCGCTCGTGAAGAGAGCTTCCTCGCCGGAGTTTGGGGAACCTGACGCTGGCATCTCACGCGACAGGTAACACGCCCGACGCGAACACAAAGACACAGATTCCCCCGTGAAGCCTTCAAACAGAGTGTTGGGGCAAGTGCCGTGAGCGAGCAGTACCGATGCAGGCACGGCACGGCACGCAAGGGGGTGGGTGGGTCAGCACCACGCCCGGTCGCCTTTGTCTCCCCAGTGGCGATGTTTTTTATCCACCGCAACAGGTACTCATTTGAGGCTGAGTCGACCTAGGGGAGGCCCAGGGCCGGTTCAAATAATCGTCACCGGTGTCGAACCCGGGTCGCCGGGTTCGACTCCCGCAGCGCGCTAACCGCTACACCAACGCTTCCCACATGCCCCTGCAGATGCACACACACAAACGTACACACATACGCACACACAAAACACACACACGCTTGTACACAGATGAACACGGCGTACAGCAAGCATGTACTCGCGGATACTTGTTTGAACTATAAGCTCACGTGTACACACGACCGCACGTACATACACACGCGAACTCACGCATATACTTGCACGTACACAAATGCATATATGCACTCGTACATTCACACGAACAAAGACAAAGTTCCCCCGTATAGCATTCAACAACGGACTGTTGGGGCAAGTGCTGTTAGTGAGCACCTATGAAGGCCGGGACTGCACACACATGGGTGGGTGGTCGGCACCACGCCCGGCCGCCTTTGTCTCTCCGGTGCTTATGTTTACACCGGGTACTAATTTAAGGCTAAGGCAACCTAGGGGAGGCAAAAGTCCGGTTCCAATATTCGCCACTGATTTTGGTCAGGAACGCAGTGGACCAACAACTCTCCTACCGCTCACCACATACTCACACACACAAACATATACAACAACAACATAGTCATCAATAACACTGCCTTAAAATGAAAAAAAAATGGATATATAATAGGCTACGTTTCGGGAAGTGACTCCTTTTCATCCATGTGCTATGAAAGAAGGTCCATTGCCCGAATCGTTGCCTGAGACGCGAGTTTATGTATTTGAAGGCCACGGTGTTATTGACGAATGCCGTGAGTTGTTATTTGTGCACTACTGGCAACAGAGCAGCAGTATCACCAACTAGTGCGTTCACTGACACGTATACAAAGACAAAGAACCCCCGTATAGCCTTAACATACTGTTGGGGCAAGTGCTGTTAGGGAGCACCTATGAAGGCCGGCACGGCACACGAAAGGGCGTGTGGGTGACCAACACAGTTCCCAACCTTGCTTATCTCCTCAATGCTGCACCGATGTTTTAAACCCGTACTGAGTACTCATTTAAGGCTGAGTCGACCTAGGGGAGGCCCGGTACCGGCTCAGATATTTGTCCCCGACGTTGGCCAAGCGCAGTGCGCTAACCACTGTGCCACCGCTCCCCCCGCCCAACTAGAGAAAGACTAAATCATCCCGTATAGCCTTAACATGCTGTAGGAGCAAGTGCTGTTAGCAAGCACCAATAATGGCCGGTAACACGCCCGGCCGCCTTTGTCTTCCGATTGGCGATGTTTTCGCACCCCGCCAGGTTCTCGCTTGAGGCTGAGTCGACCTAGGGGAGGCCCAGCACCCGTTTAAATAATCGACACACGCATATAGGGCCACACACACACACAAACACGTGCACACACGGGCCCTGCAAGTGCGTTAACGCTGAAGCGTAGAGACGTTGTGATTACGCTGAGCGAATGTCTGCGCGTGTGTTTGTGTGCGCCTTGATGCGAGCAGCTATCGCGGTGTGTAAACATCAGCACCGGGGGAGACAAAGGCGGTCGGGCGTGGTGCTGGCCACCCACCCCCTCGTGTACCGTCGCGGCCTTTAAAAGGCGCTCGCTAACAGCACTTGCCCCAACAGTCCGTTAAGGCTACACGGGCGGATCTTTGTCTTTGTTGTGCACATGCGTGCGACGTAAGTCATTCCCGCTCACTCACGCCAGATGCACTGCTCCACCAATGGCACACCAACGAGACAATCACTATCACAGCCGCGCCGAGCCATCCATTCACGGCGCTGGTAATTGACTGCACACGCGGGCGAGCGCATGCATGCACACGCGGGCGCGCGCGTGCACACGCGGTCTTGGGAGATAATTGCTGATAGGCCATTGTGAGTCGTATTAGCTCACATCAATGCAGAATTGGCATTGACTTTGCGTGTGCTGTTGTGTTATGTACACGTACATTCATGGCATGCGCATGCATACCACTGATGTCTGGTGTGCTTTTGTACATTTATAGTTATACATAATGATACGTCGATGCAATTAAGATGATGATCATTAAGTTGATGTTAATGATGATGAGTATTACAATATTAATTATGATAACAATGATGGTGCCACGATGCCGCGGATGACGATGATGAGTATTATTCGTGTGATCGCGAATTCATAATTACGACGAAGATGACATCATGAAGACAACAATGACGATCAGGATTACGATGATGGCGGTGGCGCAAACGACGATGACCGTGAACAATTTTGATGCTGATGACGAGACAGCGATGGTGATGAATACGAGGATGCTCGTGATGATGCCAATGACGATACATGTAACGATACAAATGATGGCAACGATGAAGACAGCGAAGATTTATAGCGACGATGACGATGACGTTGACGATGACGTTGATGTAGCGGTACCGATTTGCTGATAAGAGATCCCCTTCAATCCAATGAATCATCATCTCAGTTTCAACCACAGGAGAAAAGAAAATCACGAAGCAAATTGGGCTTCTCTTTATAATCCATTCCCATTGTTAAAAACTGCACAAATATGCTCGACTGTGGCGTTTTCCAGTAAACGGAGCAACTGTGCTCTTAATAATTCAAGACTCTAAATGCATCCATTTTTTTTTTCTGACAAGGGGGAGATTGATTTGGGATTGCGGTGGTGGTGTGCGGCGGTGGTCGACTGCCTTTTGTAATTGGATTATCGAACACGGGTTTGGTGGCTGTTTTATTTCACGATGTATTGATGGACAGGGGAAAAGAAAAGTAAGCGGTGGTGGTGGGTCTTGGGCTGGACACTGCGCCCCCGCAGCAGGAGGTTACGACGAGGCGATGCGTTAAAATCGCGACGGGGAGGCGGGATGAGCCCCGTGGAGACGGAGCGATGAAATCGGCTCGCGTTGCATGCGCCAGGCGGAGCATTTGCAAGGCAGGATCGTGAGAAATGCTGGCAAAGGGGCTTTCGTGTAAACGCTCATCCAGCAGTGGATTAACCATGGCTGATGAATTTACCCAAGCACGCATGAGCACGTGGCCCTTGAATAAATGCCCTCTCGTTGTGTATGCAGCGCGATCAAAAATGCTGGCGAGCCACGGATACGAGACGGACCCGCAGTTACGTAGAGGCGGTGTTCACGTATAGTAGTGGTGGCGTTATTGTAATCATGTGCATTGGCGGAGCGGTGGTGCAGTGGTTAGCGCACGGCGCTATGAACCAGGCAAAAACCTCAGTTCGATTCCCGACCACGAATGATGATAGTGAGCCTAATCCTAACCCAACCTTCACCAACCACCAAAGGCGAAGTATGGTAAAAAAATCCCTTAATCAGGCTGTCAATTGGCAAATGAGAACTGCACATTACAAAGACAAAGACCCCTCCCCGTGTAGTCTTTAAGAGGATGTTGAAGTGCGGTTAGCAAGCACATACAAAGGTCACGCGGGGCTAACGGACGCCTTTCTCTCCAGTACTGATATTTACGCACTGCACGAGGTACACACTTGAGGCTGAGTCGACTTAGGGGAGGACCAGCACCGATTACAATATTATTCTGTTAATGGCAGTGGGCGGGGATTGAACTGAGGTCGTCAGGTTTGTAGTACAGTGCGCTAGACACTGCGCTGCCACTCCCCACTACACAATACCAAACATATTACATAGAGCGCACACGTGTGCAGTATGAGTATGCGTATTGTGTCGAGATGGATGTGTGTTGGTTGGTGCGCTACGAACCTGGCGACCCGAGTTCGATTCCCGCTCGCGGTCACCAACAGCAGCGACGACTATCTGAACCGGTCCTGGACCTCCCCTAGGTCGACTCAGCCTCAAATGAGTACCTGGTGCGGTGTGTAACCGTCGCCACTAGGGAGACAAAGGCGGCCGGGCGTGGTGCTGACCACCCACCCCCATCGTGTGCGTAACCGACCTCCATAGTTGCTCGCTAACAGCACTTGCCCCAAGTCTGTCAAAGCTACACGGGAGGTACTCTTTGGTTCTATTCGGTAAAGTCACGTAGGTACAAAATAAAACAACAAAAAATAAAAAAAATCACGACGTTTCGGCCACAACACAAGTGGCCTTCATCAGGTGAAGGGACAAACCTGTCCAGAGGACAGCGTTGGAGTGAAGAAAGCCAAGCTGTGAAGGGGTAAACAGGGGTAAACAGAAAACGCCTTAAACAGAAAACGCCTTAAAAGGAGGCGACCTGCGCTTGGCTTTCTTCACTCCAACGCTGTCCTCTGGACAGGTTGGTCCCTTCACCTGATGAAGGCCACTTGTGTTGTGGCCGAAACGCCGTGAATTTTTTGTATTTTTTGTTGCTTTATTTTTTTTACCTACGTGACTTTACCGAATAGAACAAAAGAGTATGGATCTTTGCAGTCGCGAAAGCTTCAAATCTACAATGCACGTGAGATCTTTGCCTGTATTGTTTGTGTTCACTGCATGACGACACCGGGGGGGGGGGGGGGAGGGGGGGAACGCTCGTGTCGTGGTTTAGCGCACCGCCACCACGTACACAGCCACCCGAATTCGTCTCCTGGTGCGTTGTTGTAAACATCGCCACGAGGGAGACAAAGGCGGCCGGGCGTGGTTCTGGCCGTACCACCTTGCTCCCAAACATCCTTAGGCATCATGACTCTTGTCTTTCTAGCGGTGCCCAGCGAACCCCGTGCCGAGTTATATACTTTCATACAAAAAAAAAGCTCTACGCATATATCTAATTGGTTTCATTATGAAGGGCATGTATCACCTGAGTGCGTAATAATATCATTACTAATTGCTTACCTGACAGGAGAAAATGAAATGGTGAGCTCAGATTTGAGGTGAGTGCACACATCATCGTCGAACAAGACATGAACGTGATCACATTCCTATCATCGTAGCATTTAAACTATAATCATCATCGGTAGCAGGGGCCGTGTTCGATCCACTGCTGGATGAATGCTTCGGAACGTCGTCGTTTTGTCGCGATTCCACCGTCCGTCTCACTCCTGCGCGCTTACTGAGCGATTCATTCTGCCCCCCCACGTGTGCTAAAGTTGGGATGGCTCTCTCGTGTGGCTCACATTCCGTCATCGGCCTCGTCCCTCCTCTACGATAGCTGCTGCCCGAACCCCACGTCTCTTAAAATAACACACGAGAGGGTATTTAATTGATATTTGATTGCAGTTATAAGGGCGTACAACGGAAGAAAAAAATTGTGAGAGTATTAACCTTCTCGGATTGGCCGATGACAGTCATTATAACAATCAGTGGTAATGACATATCGATTAAAATATGTCTGCATAATATAATTATTCTCATCACCATAATTTAAAACGTATCATCGTCTCAGACTGAAAAATACCCTCGTAATATCGCTATGATATTGTACACTTAAATAAAAAGCATCATCCTCAACAAACACATCGTCATCATCATAGTTCAAACCACACCTCCACAATGTCATTATCATCTCAGTCTAAAACACATCTCTACCGATATCACCATCATAATCATGATCCGAAACACGCGCACACATCGTCAATTATTTTAAAACACATCATCATCATCTCCTAAAAACACCACCATTTCAAAGCACAAAGCCACATGTTCATTATCACCACGAATCCCACTTTTACAACACACATCCACACCGCTACTGCCAATTGAACAGCAAACGCTGCACAGAGCAGAGACAAAGATCCCCCCTATAGCATTCAGGCTATACGGGGAGGGGGCCTGCACAGAGGCCGATCTTTGGTCACCGCTGGCACCAGTCATCGGAAAGTCCACTCAGACCCATTATCCTCCTGTGCCATGTCAGTCCCCTGAGTCGCTCGCATAGGGGGGGGGGGGGGAGGGGGTGGGTTTGGGGGGGCGATGTTTCGGAGCGACCGTCGGTCAGCTCCGAGTCGGCAGAGTGAGCAGTGACCGCCGGTCAGCTCCCAGTCGGCAGAGTGAGCAGTGACCGTCGGTCAGCTCCCAGTCGGCAGAGTGAGCAGTGACCGTCGGTCAGCTCCCAGTCGGCAGAGTGAGCAGTGACCGTCGGTCAGCTCCCAGTCGGCAGAGTGAGCAGTGACCGTCGGTCAGCTCCCAGTCGGCAGAGTGAGCAGTGACCGACCGTCGGTCAGCGCGCGCGTGCCGTCGCGTCCTTAGACCCGTTGTTTGCTGATTTTGTCCCCTCGCTCCTAATCCCCCTGATGTGATTCTATCTCTCCCGCTCTCTCTCTCTCTCACCGTCAGCGAGGCCCTATGGGTTAAGCCATCGGAGGCGCATGGAGATTTCGGCTTGTTCATTCGCAGGTAAGGCTCGTCGCGTTTGGGCTGGACGGCGCTGAGACTGTAGTGTCTGTGTGTGTGTGTCTGTGTGTGTGTGTCTGTGTGTGTGTCTGTGTGTGTGCGTGTGTCTCTGGCGACCCGGGTTCAATTACCGCTCACGGCCAACACCCAGTGACGATTACCTGAACTGGTCCTGGGCCTCCCTTAGGTCGACTCAGTCTCAAATGAGTACCTGGTGCGGTGTGTAAATATCGCTACTAAAAAGACAAAGGCGGCCGGGCGTGATGTTAGCCACCCACCTCCTCGTCTGCTGTGCTGGTCTTCATAGGTGCTCGCTAACAGCACTTGCCCCAACAGTCTGTTAAGGCTACACGGGGGATCTTTGTCTTTGTGTGCGAGTGTCAGTCTGTTGAGGCTATACGGGCGCGTGTCTGTGCGCGTGTCTGTGTGTGTGTCTGTGCGCGTGTCTGTGTGTGTCTGTGCGCGTGTCTGTGTGTGTCTGTGCGCGTGTCTGTGTGTGTCTGTGCGCTTGTCTGTGTGTGTCTGTGCGCTTGTCTGTGTGTGTCTGTGCGCGTGTCTGTGTGTGTCTGTGTGTGTCTGTGCGCGTGTTTTGTTTGTGTGTCTGTCTGTGTGTGTCTGTGTATCTGTGCGCGTGCGACACTGTAGCTGCAGCAGGTTCGCACCGCACCGCACTGCGAGCCCGCTCACGACCAGGATCAGCGGCCAATATTTGTGCCTCCCCCTAGGTCGACTCAGCCTTAAATGAGTACAGTCGCCAGTAAGGTGACAAAGGCGGCCGGGGGTAGTGCTGGCCACCAAGCCCTCCCCGTCCCCATCGTGTGCCGTGCCGGCCTTCACCGGTGCTAGCCAACGGCCTGTTGGTGGCTATACGGGGGATCTTTGTCTTTGTGCGCGGCACTCACTGTAAATCACAGTCTGCTGTGCGTGCGGAACGCAAGTGGAGTACTATAGCAAGGGGTGTGTGTGTGTACGCCGTTCAGGATGTGGGTGGTGTCAGCGAGTATGATGTGTCTCCCTGTGACCGCTGTCTTTCCATGCCATCATCATCATTAACATCAGCAGACAAAGACCCCCCCCCCGTATAGCCTTAACAGACTGTTGGGGCAAGTGCTGTTAGCGAGTAGTACCTATGCAGGCCGGCACGGCACACGAGGGGGTGGGTGGCCAGCACCACGCCCGACAGCCTTTGTCTTCTCAGTGGCGATGTTTTTACGCTCCGCACCAGGTACTCATTTGAGGCTGAGTCGACCTAGAGGAGGCCCCGGAACGGTTCAGATAATCGTCACTGGTGTTGGTTGTGAATGGGAATCGAACCACCACGACTACTACTACTAAAGTACAGCATTATTACCACACACCGCCAATGGTATATTACTGAGTCATTGATTTCATTAGACCTCCTTTGCCAGTACCAAAGTTTAATAAAAGGGTTTCCCTTTTATTCTGGCAACAAAACTGAAACCACGAGTATTCTTGTCTGCAAAAGCCGTCCCTTGGTGTGGACCAATCAGTTTCAAGGACAATGCATGTATTATCATAGTATGTTTTTTCGTTTGCATTTTGACTGCAGGTATTGTGGTTAATGCAGCAACATGAATCCTTGTAAAAAGGTTTAACTTGTGTTGCCAGAAAAAAGGGGGAAAACCCCCTATTATTACGAATAATATATTATTACAGTACCATATATATGTTTTTTTATAATAATAATGATTATTAAATGACAATGCTACATTACAGCACTTAATATGTATTATTGTTAAATCTTGTCTAGATTTGTAAAGCAAATCTATATATTCATTGGTAGTCTGAATGCCATAATCGGGGTGTTTTTTGGGGGGTTTGTGTGCGAGTGAGACTTGATGGTGTCCGTGTTGCCCTCGTCAAATAGACAATGTGCCTTGTGTCACGATGTTTGACCTGTTGGCTACTACTGCTCCTGACTATAACGGCTGTAACCATGATCGTAAGAAGAAGAATACGCGTTATTGTCACCATAATATATGACCACGACTCCTGGTGCCACACCACTGTTGCCATCACTACAATCGCTCGCGCAATGGTCGCGTTTGTCATGACTGCCAATAGCCTAGTAAACATGGGACGTTGGGCCAACAGTTCTAACCAGATGCCGACGTTGGGACAACGTTGGGCCAACAGTTCCAAGCAAATGCCGACGTTGGGCCAACGTTGGGCCAACAGTTCCAAGCCAATGCCAACGTTGGGCCAACGTTGGGCCAACAGTTTCAAGCAAATGCCAACGTTGGGCCAACAGTTCCAACTAAATCCAACGTTGGGACAACGTTGGGCCAACGTTGGGCCGATAGTTCCAACCAAATGCCAACGTTGGCCCAACGTTGCATGCTTCCTTGGAGCATACCACCAGTGTCATCACTGCCATGATCAATACGACGATTACCACCATCAGCGCATCACCTCCAACAACGTTGTCAGATTAAATACCATGCGTGTGTTCATCATGAGTACCCTGTAACAGGCTTCGTGCACATTTTATCGACAGTATCTTTACACTGCATGGGAGTCAAACTTCTCGGTTCACCGATGATGGAGGGGTCGTGCATTTGTAAGGGTTTGCCTTGAGAAGTCTCGATAAGTCAAGTGTCTTTGTTTTGACGGGTTTGAGATCCCAAGAGAGCCGAACAGGGGAATCTCATTTGCAACACTGAATACAGGGTCACCAAAATGACAAAAGCAAAGTCAGGCACCCGTGCAGTAACGAAGCAAATAGAATTAAAGCAATGTGGAACATGAGACAAACCATAATATCCTATGAAAAATAATAAATCGGCCTCTGGGACATATTGTTTGGGGGCTCAAACTAATAAAGTATATTTTCAGATGTTGCTACTTATACCCAATATCCAGAGACTCGACTATACGCGTACCAAAATGTCACAATTCTACGAGCCCGTCTGGAACATCATTACAATATACACCACTCCCTGCATCGGCAGTGTTCTATATGTACGGGATCCCATCTTGATGGCCATTGTAGCTATGGCAATATTAGCAATGACATATTGCTACTGCTGCTGCCGGCTATTTAAAGATATTGAGGGCCGACTGCAGACGGTACTGCAGACGGTACAACAAATGCCCAATCACCCAGCGTTTCCCCAATCTCATCAAAAGTTAAACACAATTTGGGCCTGGATGCAGTTCTTGGATGGGCAAAAAAAGGTTTTGCGTAACAGGCGCTGTAGGCCGTCTTGCAGCCGCACGCACAGCGTGTGCAGGAGAGCGCAGTGCAGCGAAATCCACTGTTGCAGTGTGCTATGCTCCCAAGCCTTTGCTCGCTGCGTTCACCAACACGAAGTGACCAGAGTGTTGGTGCAGTTTTGGTCAAACAAACCCCACCACCTGCGTGGCATGGAGGAGGCCTTGGTCCAGCAGGTGCTTTTACAAGGGGTTGAACGTTACGCACATTTATATCGATGTGACATATATATAACAAAATATATTTGGGTATATAAAAACATATACAAACGAGTAGTTGCCGTGGGAGGGTACATTCCTTTTTTCACATTTTTTTTAGAGGTTGATGTGATTTTAAAATTAAATAAAAATAATAATAATAATAATTAATGATCGTCTATAACCCATTATCAATGCAATGCTGTATGAAGGCCTCCTCATGCATTTCAATCCCTTGCCCATACTTCACTACTCTGGCCATAGTGGGTTGGTGAAAGCAGTGACGCCCAGGACTGGTCCAACTATTATTCGCCTCTGGTGCCAGCCGTGGCCCGGAATTATGTTTTACACGTTTACAGCAAGGCTCGCTAACCACTGCAACCATCGCTCCACCGCCTCACAAACCACTGTGCTTATTAATTAATCAGAGTAACGTGTTCACGTGCAGATTCATACTTTGGGTTTTGTAATCTGCCCACGATGAATATAATGATCACATTTAAATATGAATTCCTTCATATATATTGCTTTAATTCTGCAGAAATGGAAGGTTGATAATTTTTTATCTTAAGTTGCAAAGTACAGAGGTGGACTGCGTTCAGATATGTAGCCGTGAATTAATCTTAGGTCATCCGGATCATAGGCCAGGGCACTAACCAGTGCTACAAATTCCCCACTTAATATTCTAATTTGTATGTTGATGATTGTTTACCCAGCGGAGTGTCAAGATTCTTCCTAAGGAGGGTCCTGCCAAGTTTTCCCTGTTATCAGCCAGTGATTTTTCAGTATCGGGATGTGTTGTCCAACACCAGTTGCATTGTGTGTGTGGGGGGGGAGGGATTCTCGTAGTTATGGAAGGGAAACGGAGAACCCGGAGACAATCCATGCAGAACAGGCATGGGGAGAGAACACACAAACTCCACACACACATACACACACATACACACACACACATACACACACATACACACACATACACACACATACACACACATACATACACACATACACACACACACATACACACACATACACACACACATACACACAATGCACCCAAGTCGGGAATCGAACTGAGACCCTTCTCTCCGTTGAGGCACGCGCGTCATCACCGCGTGGCGCCTCCCTGCCACGTGTTTTGAGGCGGATGGGAATGAGGGAGGTGTCTAGGACCTCGTGCGCGTTACCAATCCATTACGCTGCGCCCTTCTGATAAGTCGCTTGAATCAAATTTAAACAGACATTGCCGATAATCTTCCTGCAGCGTACACTCATCCAAAAGAAACGTTTATTTCTCACGGTTGTAAATACTTCGGAAATAAAGAGGCAACATTAAAACGCGGTTCCTCGTCGTAATTAAAATTAGTTTCTTCTTCTTCTTCTTCTTCCCCACCGACAGGAGCATGTGATCAACTCACGTGATCAACTCACGATCGTTTGTTTGCTTAACACGTGATCAACTCATAGATCGTTTGTTTGTTTGACACGTGATCAACTCACGATCGTTTGTTTGTTTGACACGGGATCAACTCACGATCGTTTGTTTGTTTAACACGTGATCAACTCACGAT